CTAGATGAAGAAACAGACTGAATTATTTCTTACGTCAAATGAAAATCCAGACCTGATCTTAGGGTCAAGGTCAAAAGGAAGAGCTAGGTGTAAATGCAGAAAGAGCCAGACGGCTTTTAATTATACAGTAGCTGTTATGAGACATTTAGTACTTTAGAAAGGTTTATCCACCTGTTCCAATTTACCCCAAGTACTCACAATCCATGATGAATGCCAAAGCCAAAAAAAAATCACCGCCATATGGATGCCTAGTTCCATGTCATACATCTATTGAACATACCAGCCATAAAAATATTAATTTTCTGTCCACTCAAGAAAACTTTGTAACCACTGCTATTATTCTTATTGGAAAAAAATTATTGTGTAACTATGCCAGGAGGCTGGACAGGTTGCGAAAAAGCATATATAGAAAGCAACAGATCTTAAAAATACCAGCAGTCTTTAAAGACCACACATCCATTATGGTGTTGCACAGAATGAAAATATATTCTTGCTTCTGAAAGCTTGAGCTTTTCAAAAGCACCATTTATTCTAACTTGTAGATGTTGAACTAAAGTTCTCCCACTCCTGAAGTGTAATTTTTAACTTTTTCAAAGCTTGCAGTAAGAGTTCTAAGAACTTGATATTGAAGTCAATGATGTCTGCAACTCCTCCAAAAGTTAAAATGATTTTAGTAAACCTAAACTAGTGCAGAATACTCTAACTTCACCTTACGTTGCTGCACCGAGGAAACACAATAGAAGTTTCCAAGCTTCAAAGTTTCCACAGCTTACTAGACAGTCTTATAAAGACAGACAATATTCTCAAATTGTCTTGAGAAAAGCTGAGTTTCATCACTCTTTATATGAAGGAGAAGATTATGATGATGTAAAAACAAAAAAAAGCAACAGGTATCACTGCTGATCAAGTAGTACCCTCAGATTTGTGCCTGGATAGATCTGATCTTACAAATAAAGCTGGCAGACTAGAAGAAATACATTTACTGCATAAATGCAGTAACCCTTGTATGATGGCAGCCTTTCTCTGCCTGCCCCAGTCTTTCAATTCTGTAGCCATTTGATAAAATCTCCTTGTGGCAGAGCTCTAAGATGTAAACAACTAGGAAAAGACAGGTAGCTCTGTGCTCATGCAGGCAGGGACAGCAGCTATTTTGTACTCCTCAGTATCTCTCTCATCCAGTGTGGGACAAGGCTGGGATGGAGACTGGCAATACAAACTTCAGCAGCTTGTGCTGGATCGTTCCTCTCATAGTCATCACCCCAACTTCTCCTAATCCTAAAGTCAGTAATGTGGATCAATCCCAGCCAGAGAGATGTGCTTGAGCTGCTCCACATATGCATCTTGGCCACATCTGCAGTATAATCACGTGGGCTTTCAACAGACACTGTGAAATTTTGACAGTATTGAACTTAATAGCCAAATTCCCATTGATTAAAGCAGAGCCAGACTGTCACATATAATACTTTTACTTGGTCAGAACACCTCCTTCTCCTCCTGAGGCTTGTAAGAGCCATAAATAAGGTTAAAGCAATATAGTACTCAGAGGTTTTAACAGAAGGCCTCCTCTGTTTAACAATCACCAAGAATAGTTGCTTAAGATAGGTTATACTGAACCATAAATGAGAGAAGGCTGCTGAGGACTTTTGAAAAAAAAAAAAATCACTACTTTTATTGGTTGTCAATGTTTTCTTATTAGCCAGTAAATGCATTTGATATAGGTGAGTTTCCAAAGTAAGCATGATGGGAGGGCTTGTTCGAGATTCAAACTAATTTAAAAAGAAGTCACCTCAAGTTTCCCTTTGAGATATTTATAAAATATGCCATTAATTTGCTGTACCAAATTTGTGTATATTTACTGGATGCTAATTAGTGTAGAAATTCAACCAGTTTTACCATCTTTCTGTTCAACTCAACAAATTATACTTTTCAAACCTGTCTCTGGCAGTGACAATCATTTTAATATTTGCCTAATTTCCACAGAGCAGAAGTATACCTCAAGCAAAAGATACACTACAAACATACACACATGTATAGTAGCCACAGGTAGCATGTACTATCATCACTATACATACACAGTCATACAATATTCTCCTGAAGAATTAGTTTTAAAAAAAAAAAAAGTGTTCTAATATAAATTATATTACTGGTTTCAGGTATTGGACATCATTGAAGTTTTCAAGGCACTTGCTATAATAACATTTATTTAAGAAGTTGTTTCTGACTTTGCCAAACTAACTGCTTGTTCTAAAACTTTACGCGCTGGCTGTCTGCCCTGAAGCTGGGGTTTCGACTTTTTTTCCTTTTGTTTGCTTTTTTAAATTTCAGCCACAATCCTCCTCCAAGAAGGAGATCATGGAACACTTTTTCGGTTTGCCAAAATGGCATTCTGGCAGCATTTCCTCCAACTTGAGCACCCTGTGCTTTGGAGTGAGAACTAAAAATTTGATGAGAGATTGCGAGGGAGGAGAAAAGAACACTAGGAAGCCTAAAATACAAGCCTGAGAGAGGAATATAAAAACAACAGTGATGGTTCCACATATTTAATAGAAGCTTTAAGATTTCAGAGGCTAAAAATTTCAAAACCTCTCTCACTGAGCATAATTCTCTTCCCTCATGACTCCCAACAATTATATGTGCATGTAAAGTCTTCGGAAAAGAAATAATTATGCTTCCTGGAGGCCCAGGCCTATAGGTAAATCCAGGGTTACCAGCAAACACCTCCATAGCAAATGCTGCCACAGGCTGGGGTGGACAGCAGAAGGAAGAGTTTCTCGTAAGTGCTGCGATGCCAAACAGATCTCCAAGCCAAATACAGAGGACAAAAACTGAACTGCATTCCTTACCTCATCCTTTACAAAATGTCCAAATGAAAAAGGATCGCAACTGTCAAAACCAGCCTTCACTACTTGACCCCAAATTCATAACAAGACTAGATCTACCCTTTGCATTATGTGAGGCAGGAGTCCTGTAGGAAATAAATGTAGTATGTGATCTTGTTAGCAAAGGTCAGACCACACATCTGCAACTATGGTGCCATGTTGCACCTGAGTGGCTGTTTGTGCCACAGGTAGTTTTGTGTCTAATTTCTGAATGAATGCAATCCTGTAGAAACAATACTGTTAACAAAACAGAGACAAATAATTTTTTGAAAGTACAATTGCTCTCAGTAGTCCTATGCTCGTATATAACAATAATGAATCCCAAATCTCTGAATCATTTGAAATGTCAGACAATTTTTAAAGAAAGCTGAAAGCAGAAGAGATCAACTACTACTCTTTAATAACTTTTGCATGATGTTACTAATTTGTTGGAATACAATGTCCAAGTTGTCTAATTATTGGCAGAATTGAGCTAATTGAAGCACACAATTCTGATAACCTAATGTGTATCTATAAAAGGATCCATCACACAACCAAAACAGGAATGTAGATGCATAATTGATCATTAAGCATAGAGTTTGAATGTGAATAGTTCTAGTACAATCAGCATGAGTATTTATAAAGCCAAATATGTGCCTATACTTTGGCAAGACCAGTGGGATGTGAATGGTTAGGGTAATATGTATGCAAATATTTTTGCATATGTTATATATTTGTCTGCATTTCACAACAAGAGCTCTTGAAAGGCTTTGGTTTGCAACATGATCTAATAAGCTGTAGAAAACCCAGCAAATAAGAAAATAAGACCACTTAGTATAAGTTTTGGTTGATACTGCGTGTACAAGACTCAACCTAAACAAAAAGCAAATAATCGTGCAACAAGTATTTACCAGTATAGATTTTATTTCTTTTCAAAACAATGGGTTTGTTAAGATTTAAAATACTTTAGTAATTACCTAAAACAAATGTACACTTTGTTAGAACTTCTGGTAAGTGCTGATCTTGAGCTCTGAAAATGTGTGACAGAATACAAGAAAATATAAAATTGGGTTAGCAAAATACAGTAACGGAGATTTACAAGACAGACACACATTCTATATTATTTGACCTAAGTCAACCAGGTAAACATGGTGTAACAGCTTTCCACTTAGAACACGTGCCTGTAAACTTAATCTGCAACCTGAATCCCAGGAAAAATTAACTTCTGATCAACTCAAGGCTACCAGGTCCAAAACCAAAAAAAATTCATCTCAAGATGTGTTTCCTCTTTGAACATATATTCCCTTTTTCCATAAGGTATTAATTTTAAATTTTAATAGATCACTATATATGATAAAATTACAATAAAACATTCTTTTATTATTCATGATTCAACTAAGTCTGTAGCCATAATGTAAGTTATTTTATACATGAACGGTTAAGTGTTTCACAGAAAAAATATTTATTTATTGCATCTAGTGAAAAAAACTTCGATGGTTCTTAAAAAAAAAAACAAAAAACCTTGCTGTTGGCTAATTGCCAAACCATCTATTCCCTGTGGCTTGCCTTTCAAGAATTATAAAGAAACTCTGGAGTTTGTTGTGAACTGGACAGCCAAAGATGATTAATCTGTATGGCAGCAGGATGCTTGATTAAATCCACAAACTTCCCAAATGAGCTATAAGGATAAAAAAATGTGGTTTGTTATTGTGTCCATTTCCAAAGGACAGCTCACAAGCTTTCCTCCTCACGTAAAAACTGGAACACAGCTGAGAAGTCTTTCAGGGCATAGCCTTTGGCACACATCATCCTGTAGATCTGATGTGCCTGGGAGCCCAAAGGAACTGGTGTCTTCGTGCTGGTGGCAGAAATCTGGGCCAAGCCAAGATCCTGTGGGGGGCAAGAAAAGGGAGGAAGAGGGCAGAGAGGAAGAATGGAAGGAAAGAAAAAGAGAAAAAGTCAGGGGAGAAACAACAAGGACACAAAGAGCCATATACATATCACAGGTTATTTGGCTTCCACTGTAACAAGACGTCTACGGCCAACAAGTACAATACTTCAGCCTTAAAATTTCGGAAGCAGGAAGAAGCTGGGAGAAGCAGGTTTTGTGTAGTTTTTATTTTTTAAAGAGTAATTCAATGTTAGTCAACAGAAAAACCTCAGACTTTGCCAGGCAGGCACCACCTTAAGAACGGGAGGAATTTTAAGATTCTAGATCACTATATAACCTGGCAGCAAGACTCAGACTCTTTTTCCCCATTGAGTATATAATCTCTAGTAAGAAAATCTCCTTGGCTATTCATTGAAGCATTTCACATAGATTCTAAGAGTATAATTTAGTTCTTTTGGCAAGAGGAATTTTTATTACTATAAACAGGTTAAAAATCAGGCAGAAGATATTTCAAGAACAAGAAAATGGAAGCCAAATAGCAAATATACATCTACTATAATTTAAACAGTTAATAGCAAAATGAGACTCATAAGTCACTTAGTGAATACAACTGGTTTGCTGCCTAACTGGAAGGATGTATTAGAGAGTTGCTTATGGGGCAGTCCTGGATCTGCTACAGCTCAATATTCTTCTTGAGTGACTTCAATGACTTTTTTTAATAGAGGCACTTAGAGACTAGTTCCACTGTGTTTTTAAATACTGTATTTGGGTCAACAAAAGGGAGGGAAGGTTCAAAGAGGACAAATTTGATTGTCCTCCTTGGTCAACTACAGTTATAATCTGAAATCAATATGGCAGAACCCAAAGGTGAGTACCAGGTACTATGACTAACCATAGTGAGCCAGAAATAGTCAGGTGCTAGCTAGGCTGTAGGATGTCTTGAACTCTAAGCTGAATCAGACATAAAACAACCCAAAGAAGGAAGCACTAACAAGTGCCTGTATATATATATATAAAGATCTCTTGACTAAGTAGTAAAGTAATGCCTGCACTGAAGGTTGCCTTTATGGTCTTGTTAATAAAATCAATGTTTGGGGTCTATATTTAAAGAAAGTTGCAAAAGAACCTCTCAAGTATTACTAGGAAATGCCTAGATTTCCTATCCACTCAGAACTATGGTGGTTTATAGAATCTGCTGTGGGTTTTTTGGTTTTTTATTTTTTCCTGTTTTTTGGTGATTTGGGTTGGAAGGGACCTTAAGGATCATCTAATTCCAAGCCCCTGACCATGGGAAGGGACATCTTCCACTTGACCAGGCTACTCCAAGCTCCATCCGACTTGGCCTTGAACACTTCCAGGCATGCGGCATCCACAACTTCTCTGGGCAACTGTGCCAGTGCCTCACCACCCTCATAGTGAAGAATTTCTTCCTAATATCTAATCTAAATCTACTCTTTTTCAGTTTGATGTGATTAGCCCTTATCCTGTTGCTACACTTCCAAAAGTCACACTCCACGTTTCTTGTAGGCTTTCTATAAGTCTTGGAAGGTGCTATAAGATCTTCCCAGAGCCTTCTCTTCCCCAGGATGAACAGCCTCAACTCTCAGAGCTTTTCTTCATAGCAGAGATTACCCAACCCTCTGACAATCTTCACCACTCTCCTCTGCACTCACTCCAGCAGGTCCATGGCCTTCTTCTGCTGGGGGCCCCAGAGCAGGACGCAGCACTCCATCTGGGGTCTCACTAGAGCAGAACAGAGGGAGAGAATCACCTTCCTCGACCCAATTGTCATACTGCTTTTGATGCATTCCAGGATGTGTCTGGATTTCTGGGCTACAAGCACACACTGCCAGGTCACACTGAGCTTCTGCTCCACCCATACCCCCAAGTCTTTTTCCCAGGGCTGCTCAATCCATTCTTTGCCAGCCTGTATTTGTGCTTGGGATTGCTTCAACCCAAGTGCAGCACCTTGCACTTGGCCTTGTTGAAATAAATGAGATTTGCAAGGGCCCACCTCTCACACCTGTCGAAGTTTTTGAGTATCTCAGCCTTCTCCAAATCCTGGGCAACCAAGTCCTAACCCTATATAAGGTCCTGTATCTATAGAAGCTTTTCTTGTTGCCCTTGAAACCTTGTTCAGGTTTAATTTTATCAGGGCTTCAGCTTTCCTAACCTGATTCCTGGCTGTTCAGAAAATTTGTCTGTATTCCTCCCAGACTAGCTGTCCTTGCTTCCAACCTCTGTAGGCTTCCTTTTTGTGACTAAATTTGTCCAGGAACTCCTTGTTCATAGGCACAGATGGTTTTGCCTGACTTCCTCCTCGTTGGGATGCATCGCTCCTCAGCCTGGAGGAGGTGATCCTCGAATATTAACCTGCTCTCTTGTGCCCCTCTTCCCTCCAGGGCCTTATCTGTATGGAAGCAGATTCTTGCAGAGGCCAAAGCTGGCTCTCCTGAAGTCCAGGAAAGCGAGCCAGTTGTGCACCCTCCTTGCTGCCCTAAAGACCTCAAACTACACTGCTGCATGATCACTGCAGCCAAGACTGCTCTTGAGATTTACATTCCTCACCAGACCCTCCCTGCTGATGTGAATGAGGTCCAACATAACAATCTTTCCTTGCTGGCTCCTCTAGTTTTGGAGAAGGAGATTCTTACCAACACATTTCGAGAACTTCCTGGATTGTTTATGCTTTGCTGTGCTGCCCCTCCAGCAGATATCAGTATGGTTGAGGTCCCCCATGAGGACCAAGGCTTGTGGATGTGAGATAGATCCTGTTTGTCTATATTTGTCTCATCTGCTCAGACTTCAGGTCAGATAAGCTGTAGAAGGTCCCCACTATAATGTCACCTGTCTCTACTCTACCTGTCTCAACTACTCCTCCATCCCCAGGAGAAGCTTCATGCTCTCCAGCTGGTTACTGACATAGAGCCTGAATCCTTCACCCCAAATCACCCCAACTTCACCCTAGCTCCAACACCCCAGTCAGAGGAGTCATCCTACCATGTCTCTGTGATGCCAGTAAGATCAAAGCCCTGCAGTCATGCACACACAGCATTTGCATAGGGTCATCTAAACCGGGCCCTGATGAAGCCAATTTACTGGCTGGAATGGCTGTAATTCTTTTGTGCTGCTCTTCAGGTGCTCTCCTGCTGGACCTACAATCCACCTCCAGGCTCTGGACAGCTATTGCTGTCACTGGCATCAAACTGGTAGGAGTGGGATGAATCCAGGTTCCCCCTTTCCAAATAACTTTAGTTTAAAGCCTTCTTCACCAGAGCTCTGCAAGCCTGTAAGCAAAGATGCTCTTCCCCTACTCTGACAGATGGTTCTCATCCTTGATACAGAAGAAGTAAAAGACTGTAGTACTGCTGAGAGCACCTTTGACTTCTCAGGGATGACTTACAAGACAGGTCTTTACTTTCTATGTGTCTGTATTTGAATTAGCACAAGGAAATTCAAGATCTTACTCTACTCTCTAAATGTCACTTCGATCTGTAAATCGGCTCTATAAAGGTCATTCTGATACAAATCAGAATTATAGTTACTTTTCCTATTACCCTCGAATGACTTCTAGCTTTAGGAAAATGGGAAAAACATACATATCAGATGTCACAGAATCCAAAATAGTTTTCATCTATATCAGGGCAGATAACTTCTTCTCTGTTGAAAGACTGATGAGCTGACCAATCAAGGAACACTTACTTTAATCTGCATACAGTAAGATATTTCATGACATATATAAACCCTCTTTGTGAAATCTGTACCCATATTATTCATTTTATTCAAGAAAGCTTAACTCATGAAATGGAATATTAGAATGGCAAAGTAATCTAATTCCAAACTAGTAAAAATATTTGGTATTGGTAGTGGTGACTGTGATCTATTTCTCTCTGAAGGGACATTCACAGAAACAATTCCTGAAAATTTTGAATGGACTATTAGCACAAACACAACTTAACAAATGTCCTGACTTTGGTAAGGGACAAGGTTACTTTTTGCAGAGCTGTGAGCGGGTGGAACCTTGCACCATGTGGACATGGCTGAGACCTCAGTGTTATTTGGTACCATCCTATGTCATTGCTAGGGTGGGGAAAGGAACTTTCTCTGGTTTCGGGGAAGAAAGGATGCACCTTTCTGGTTGAGGAAAAGTGTGGTGGGTGAGTCTGTCTACCATTGTTTTTCATTGTCCTGGGCTTGGTGAGCATTTTGCATTTAAATAATCCTCTCTTTTGTTATTAGTATGTTGCTGTTACTGTTTGTGTTCTTATACCATGGCTGCTTTCCATAAATTGTTCTTATCTCAGCCCATGATCTCTACCTCTTGTGTCTCTGACTGGAGAGGGGGGAAGCAGCTCACAGGTTTTTTTGTGGGAGTACTAAATTGGGGAATAGCATTCCTAAACCAAGTCAGTAAAGCAGCTCTGTTCGCTTCAGTACAGAAAGTGTAGCTCCAAGATGGATGAAACATTCAATAACATTTCAACAATCCAATGGACAAGGACTCCTGACTGAAGTGCAGGATGGTTGTTTTGCTTTTTTGAAACGCCATTCTATAAATTATAACTTTGAAGGAAAAAGCAGCAAGAAAACATAAATAAAGCTTATCTTTAGCTTCAGATTGTGAAGTATTTTGCACCTTTTCACTTGATATTGGAGATTCCTCAAGTGAAATAGTACGAAACATCTTGGAAAGAAATTTCCCTTTCCTGACTTATTTGGAAAAGTAAAAATGAGAGCATAGTTTATGGCTTCTCTTATACTCTTTGGAACTGACAACATCTTCCAGATGTCTCAGTGCACTGAATATTCTAACACTTTTCCTCAGCTTAGAGTAGGGAAACAGATTCTCTTTCACAATTTGTTTCCACTTTAGAATTACCTGGTTCCTTGCATTTATTTTGCAGTTGATGTAAATGAAACTGCCATTTGGAATAAAGCTCAAAGGGTGTCTTGACATGATTCAAGAGGAGTATGATATAAATCTAGCTCTTCTCAGGATCCAAATTTGACATTTAATTAGCAACTGTGCTGTCAGTGAAAGATGGAACTTCTGGTCTGCCAATGCCTTGAACACAAACATGGCGTGATAAACTAAACTAGATTTTTTTAAAATGCAAAATCTTTAGAGCAGGTTTCACAGCAAGTTGACTAAATTGTATGTTTCAGTATCAAATTTCAAGACCAAAGAGCTTCTCAGAAGTGTCTGGCAAACTTTTTTGACCCAAATACTTAAAATAAAGATCCTCCGGCTTTGTTTTGAGAGTTTTTAATGACAAATTATTTTTAAGAAAGCCTTTGACTTCCACCATCTCTGATATGTGAGCAGGAACTACGTTTAGTAACTGTTTTTAGTGACTGTTACTGAGGCACTCCTAGATATTTTCACTGTGGAATATTTTCTCCTCAGCCTCAGGGTTTTACCTACCTCTTTCTCCTTTGAAAACATTCTTTTTTATTTCTTAAGTAGTAAAATTGTGCTCTGCATTTCCCTTAAAAAACGTTCCCACCTCAAACAATTCACAAACTGCATAGTATGTCACACATCAGGATGAAATGGATAGTAGCAAAAGTCTTTCCACAAACTAAAAGACAGTGTCTTAGAAGGGGTCATCACTGCACCAAAAAATAGCCTGAACATGATCAGCTGTCTTGGCTACTTATTCAAGAAATCTTCCATCTATATAGAAAAACAGAGCGTAGTTCAAGAGGCATGAGAGGAATTTAATGTCTTTCCTTCTTACTGAGGGTTCTAGCCTCAGGAAGGCTTTAGGACTGTCAGGCAAGTCAGGACTGAGAAGCAAGTCAGAAGAGGTGAACAGCAATTACAAATCTCTCTGAAGAACTCTCTCTTGGTTATCATTGATGCTTTATAATCAAAGGCTGGCAGTTTAATAGGCACAAACCAGGCTGCTATTCCTTCAATTGAAGAAAGATCCTTCAGGGCATCTTCCAGGGTAGATGAAGACAAAGGAAAAAAACAACCCTTTAGAAAGAAACGTAAAAGGGAAGAAAGAAAATGTGTGCTCCTATTGCATTTATACTATGAGGCTATTCTGGACAAGACTGAGATCTATCAATCATGAGAATAGAAATTGCAGTGTGAAACATGGCACAACAGGCAGAACAGATTCTGAAAACAACACACAACATGGCAACAAGCCTTGAGGCAGGGCCAAGATCAGGTTTGATAGCCTAGAAAACTCTAAGCAATAACCTAATACTTTTTATAAATCTGTAATTTAAACAACAATTTATTCTCCCCAATGTTCAATGACATGAATACAATGTAAAAACTGCTACTTCTCAATATTTTAACACATTCCTCAAAGAAATTAAAGTTCCTGGTCATTGGAAAACATGACCATAACATAAAATATAGCAGTCATTGGGGGTTGTGAGCCATGCAGCATTAGCAAAGCTTTTTGGTGCTACCACATGCAAAACACTCTGAACCCGCTCTGAGGAGAAGTTGGTTAATTTCATTGAGCATGCAAATGCACCAATTGTCCTAAATCAACTGCCAAATGACATGAACAGTATCAATAAGTAGGTATTATATACAGGAGCTCCAGCACTTTGGAGATTTACATGGTAATATCTGAGTTCACCAGCTTTGAGAATGCTGTTTTAGTTTTAAGTGCTACATTTCCACTTACATGGAAGAGCTGAAAATGGACAGAATGCCTAACCAGTTGGGAGCACTCAATAAACTGGTATACATAAAACCTATCCTGTCTGAACTCAAATGCTTCCCTCAGGACAGTATCTCCATGAAAAGGATATTCAGTGTAAAATTATTTCATCCACTTAGATGAAAAATCTCTTCCAGAGCTGATTTTATAATTTACCTTAGGCAATCATTGTGCTCAGTGCAGAAGCAGTTCAAGAGTCAGAGTTCTGTATCTCCTTCCTCCAACTACGAGTCCTGTCAGGGAGATGTAGAGCTCTGACCTCCTTGCCTACTTTCCTTTGGCCTCTAAAAGTTTCGCCTTCCTGACCACAGAGTGACTCAGGACAGCGCTTTTCCTGGAAAAGTCAGGAGCATGGCAGTAAGTGCATTCTCCTGGGATGGAATAACAGTAGGTCTTCAACTTCCTACTGCTGAGAAGGACCTAAACCCCAGACCTCTTACTTTGTGGACAAGCAGTGTGGATTACTATGTAATGAGTTGTTTACACATGAGAAGCCCTTCTTCTGCCACCAGCTAAGACAATATTCACGAGAGCTCACAGAATGGTGTAGAAACCTGCAAGAGATCAGCCTGTGGTGGTGGGGGCTGCTTTCAGCATTCCAGATGCCCTTAGTCAGAAGGACATGCACACAAGCAATTGGCTCTGCAAGGAAGGGCTTGCTAGAGAGCATGTCCAGTAGCACAGTTAAAGGTATCTGGAAGAGAGTGGGCCCAAAATCTGAGATGCTTATGCCACTATCAGCACCTAATTAAGTCACTTGGATTTCCCTGAATACTCTCTTGAACTTAGGCTCCTAAATTTTAGAGCAGTCATGCATGAGGCATCTAAATGGCTTGCTGAACACTCACTATATCCACAGGCCCATTGGGACTCCTTTATTAAGGCAGAACTCAAAAAAGATCATGCATATAATCTCACTGAGTTGCTCAGCAGTAACAGTGGCTAGAAAGAAGCTGGAGACTAAGGAAAAGCCCTGTAAACAACTCATTAATTCAGAGCTACAGGAAGGGCTCAGGTCCCCTCTATTCATGCCTATATATTATCCTGTAATCACATATTTTCACTGAGAAGACCACTTGCTAGAAGCCCAGAGAGAAGCAATTGCACATACTTGACATGCAAGTGTTATGTACCTTAGCCATGAGTGTTGTTCCAAAGCCACCTTGGTAATTGTTAGCTGAGGGTACTCCTTCCATCACTCCAGGAACAGGGTTGTACGTATCGCTTGACCAACAGCGACCTGAGCTCATATTTAGGATTTTGGCCAGCAGCTTTGGGTCAAGGCCTAATCTGTCAAAGGTCAAAGAAGAGAAGTGTTAACGTCAAAATGCACAAGACATGGGTGACTTGTTTTATATCTTAGGACCCTACCATCATTCCTCTTCCTTTATTATAAGTCATGAAAAATGACAGAGTATTGATATTGGGGGCAGGGATGCTGTATCTTAAATTAAAGAGCATCAATCCGCCATTTAAGCAGTAGGTTTTCAAAGCTTTTTTCCTTTTGCACTAAGCAAATCCTCTTCACGTAGTAATTTTGAAAGTGCAAGCAAATTAAAGGTCCTCTGAGAACAATAGTTACCTTGTATTTCAATTACTAAAAGGCATACTCTGTTCTGCTACCTATGAGGTCACATACTTGTTCTTCATATCAAAATATTCTCTGAAGGAAGCAAAAAATTCACAAGCAAGTGTGGCAACATGAAAATGGTTGTGTGATGCATTTATATGTGAACACTAGTGCATTTCTGAGGTAAACAAGATAACACAACTGATTCTGCTCTAATAATGTGAATAAAAATTCTGCACTTCTCAAAAAAACTTTACTGTCATATACATCTGTGCATTCTTGCCTTTGCTATTATCTTCATTATATGCTCCAGCTTATGAGGCAAGTCTGCATTTCACTGTGACATATGTTATCTATTCACAAACATATATTGTAGTTCTGGGTCAGCTGCTGATAAGGTTACTGATCCCAATAAAACAAAGCTTGTCCAAGTAGAAACGTCATTTGTTCTACCATGGAGATGATGGCATAAAATGCGGCTCAGTGCAGACCCTGAAAATTCTTCAATATTATACAAAGTTAACCCTCTTATGAATTCACATTTTTGCTGATAATAATATGCAAGTGTAATTTTACATAAATTGCATTAATGCCAAAGACAAGCAGCAGCAGTTTATCTGGCACTGTACAAATGTTCAGCTATACACAGGACAAAAGAGAAAGCAAGGGAACGATCTCCAGTAACAATTCAAGATGAGAAAAGGACATTTTAAAAGGGATATATCACAACCTTCTACAAAGCTTATTTAAATAGATTTCAACATTTTTTATATTAGTTCTCACATCACAGACTTTTGATTTAGAGCCCCATAGCCTAAGAGGGCTTCCAGGCACTTTAGCACTCAAAGTTTTAATTTGTAGATGAGAAAAGCTCATTACCAGTGGAACAGTTGCTAAAATGCACGTCTATCTATTCCAGTAGGCATTCTGGATTTGAAAAGCTATGCTTAAGATAGTCAACCCTACAGCATGGTTCCTACTCCTATAGTGGCACCTTCCTAATGCAAAGCAAGATAATTTTTTGTATTTCAGATAGCTTTTTAGCAGTACTGCTGTGCACTCTTATTTACGATTTGCTGCAGCAGACCCTGGAATTCAGTGGAGAGTCTCCACTGGCCTAAATGGGATCCAGCTTTATACTCCTCCCCATTTTTTCCCAACCCTCTGATTCAACCAAATGCTTATAACCATCATTTATTTAAAAATACAAACTGTATTTTCCAGCACCAGTATGTTTTCACAGCATTTGAATTGTATTTTTATTGTGCATAGTGCATCAAAGTGCTCACCACAACTCTTCATCAAGAGCCACTCCAAATAATGGATTTAATTGTTGTAATGAAAAAAACCCACGCCAAGAACATTCAAAGCCTGAGTTTTCAAATACACAGAGGTTGCTTTCTTCCCCCTCAAACAAATCTCTTGACTTGTCTGTTTCCCTATAATTGTTACATCCAGATCAGTATTTTTCCAATGTAGTGCCTGCTTGTGCCATATCCAACTGCATGGAGAGGCCTGCAATTACAGCTGTGGGTATACTGCAAGACAGAGAGCTTATTATTTCAAAACACATATAACCCTCCCAAAGAATGCTCTTTTTCCAGCATTTGTACTGCCTCTCTGTGAAAGTATACTTTAAAAGATATGCATGTATTATACAGATATGTAAAATACTGTCTTGCACCACTTTGACATATTTTTGCTCTGGGAAAAGAAAAAGAAAGATAGTGTCAGTTTATATCCCTGCTTCTTCAAAATTCATAGCTCTTAAACACCATGCAGCTTCTCTTCAGGAGACCTGAACCTATTTTTTTTTTCTCCTTTGCAGCAAGTGTATCATTAATAAGAGCAAGTTAGGAGTGCTTTGCATTTCATCTTTCTGAAGATTCATCCACTGGTGCATATATAACTGACAGTTAAAATTAGACATATATTAAAATCAGTTACTGAAGAAGTCCTCTGTCTTCCACTGTGCCCAAAGCTTGTAATGGTCTGAAACCAGCCAGAATATACAGTAATTGTCATTCAGCAAGAGTCTATCCTAGAAAGTCATGCTTCAGTGGAGAAGACTGAGTTTCCATTTGAAATCAACAAATTAATCCAAGACAGGTATCTGAAAGGGCAAGTTTAATAGGAAGCAGCTACTGGGCTCTCAACCATGATAAAATGTTATTGCTGTTTCCCTGTAAATTGGCTGGGAACATACGATACTCTCTGCATAAGAGCTCCATTGCTGTTCAGGAGATATACTGCTCAAGCTATCAAAATGATGACAGTCTGCCAGTCCCCATAACAACTTGCCATTGGACATGGCAAGAGCTTGTGCATGTGTGTGTGAATTTACAATTACCAAAATGTTCTTCTCCCTTATAAGCAGAAAAGAAGCTCATGTATTAACTGTACTTATAATAGAACAAAAACAATTGCTCCCTCAAATCAATGCTTCTTCAATAACATTCCTAATGAACTGAACAGCAGAAACTAAGCAATAGATGCACGTACCAAAAAAACAAAAAATCAAAATAGGATCCCTTCATGCCACAGCTCAAAACTCAGGTTTTGCTGAGCTCTAATAAAGCTTCAGCCTGATTTTTTCATATACTCCTCCAAAAGCTCCATCTGGAACAGATACAGAAATTGAAATAGTGTCTCACAAGAAAGATACATCCTGGTCTCATTTTAAGGTATAATAACAGAAGCAGCTGAACTCCTAGAGTTTTTCTTTAGGTAAACACTGTATAAAGGTGCAAATATTCAAGCAGAACCTTACAACTCGTCTACCACAGTTAAAAATCACTTTGTCGTTGGTGTTTTAAACAAGATAAGTGCTCTCCAGCGTCATTACTAACCTTCATGAGTCTTAATGAGTCCTATGCCAAAGACAGCAGAACATAACAGCAGTTCAACAGAACTGAACATAACATGTATTTCATTGGTGAGAACTATGGATGGGAATATTTTTCAAAAGTATTTATGCAATTTAATCCAAATAACTTCCAGAGAAAAAGAACCTTGGAGCTCTTTTTCAAGGTACTCTTTCTAAACTTTGCAGTGGGGATGTGTCCAGGGCTAATTATTCCTCAGCTTGTTGCATATGCTCCTCTTTACTCTGTCAATGCTCATTTCTGCTCATGTCTTACATCCATGGCTCAGGCGTGCTCACAGAAACCAGATCTAGTGACTGAGACTACATTTAAACTCAGCATGATAAGAAAAATTCTTTTACCTTCTTTTCACTTTATTTATCTAAAAAAACAAGTGGGCACAAATCCATGGAATAAAATTGCTTAGGAAGTAGCAATTAGTATTTGCAGATTTTGGTATAAATTTGGGTGGCACCGCAGTCCCTCCTCATAGAGATGATTTTCTCTGCTATTGGAAGTACAAATTGATTTTGCAGCGAGGTTATTGCCATACAGCCCTTACTGCTCTCCTGGTCCCTTATATCCCAACCACATGATGTAGCCTTGTCCTGCCTTGTGTCACCACATAGGCCCTTTCCTGAGTCTTTGCAGGCAGTTTCTGATGGGACCACAAAATGTCTGTCAGGCAGCAACTTCCATCTGAGCTAAACACAAACCAGGTATCAGCAATATTTCATTTTTGAGCTTTATTTCGCTAGTATTAGAAATTGTTTCACTGGAACTCAGGACTCAGTAGAACAAAGTTACTATCACTGAGATGATCAGCAAAATGAAAAAGAAAAATATTTTCTGACTGTGGACAGTATCATTTAATGTTTGTAATTCTTGTTTGCGCAGTTTACATGTATTCTGTGTGTTAGTTAGACACAGTAAGTCAGTATTTTGCAATATGCACACTACTTGTAAGTAGTAGTAAAAATCTGCTAAAGATTTTTCCACTGACATGTTGCACTAACATGCTAGAAAGAGACGAAAATATAAATGACAATGTGAATTAATCTCCGCAATGCCTGCCACACCTTTTAACTTTTACTAGTAAAATAAATCATCAGGAAAGTAATGGAAAAACTGAACATAACATGCATTTCATTGGTCAAAACTACAGATAGGAATATTTTTAAAAGTATTTATGCAATTTAATCCAAATAACTTCCAGAGAAAATGGACATCTTCATTAGTAAATAAAGATGATGTTCGAGTAAAGCAAGTGACATATAAATGTAAAATTACATAGCAATATGAACTATTTTTCTGGGAGTTTATTGTGGAATTTTTGTTCATTAATGTCAGTTTTCTTTCCTCCTCACCATATTCTATTTGCTACCTATATTGAAGTTTGGAAAAATTCTATAATTTAAAATATAAAATAAATTAAAAAATCATTTAAAAATATGAAATTACTAAAACAGTCACTGTAACTACTTCAGAAAATTAAAATTTAGACTGCATGGTTTAAGAAAACATTATAGAAGAAGTAGCTTATTAATAGAATTAATATCACACTGCTTTGAAGACTTAAGTTTAGAGTATATATGGTTTATGGAAGCCATTGTTATATGATCTTGTAGCTACATATAATTCTGACAACAGTATTTTGAATAATTAATTATTCAAAGTCCCTAGAACCCAATTCAAATGATGCAGCAAATATACACAATGTGTGACATAAAGACATTTTATATTCTATATGGAAGTTAAGAACACATCTAAGTTCCACAATTCCTATTCTAAATTTTTAGATTTTCAGAATGCTTTACCATTATTAAGTCCAATACTTCACCAGATAAGCATCAACCTCATATATCAAGTTCAGTTTCCTACTCTCTTTAGAGCAGGCAGCCACACTATCCTTTGAGCTTTAGAGTAGAAAAAAACTTCCTAAAATTATTAATATAGCAAAACTTCTAATAATTACAATGGTAACTGTAAACTTCTACATTAGAAATTTTTACACATTCCAAGTGGAAAGCTCTTATTCTGGTTATAAGAATATAACCAGAATCTCTCTTCTTCTCAAGATCTAAATCACACTAAATTAAAATCAATGCAAGGATTCTAAATTACTTCATAAGGCTTTAAATAACCACCTCTGTCTTTAACTTCATGCAGTTTTTGACTAAATGAGATTCTGCTATTTCTAGACTTTGATTTAAAATCAGCAGGTTTCTTCTACAATAAATATAGTTCCCTCTTGATAACCTTAATTGTAGGGTAGGGAGGTTTATCTATTGTTACTTTGACATTGGATTTTTGCTCATAAATGATAAATACAGATTCTGCCAAAATTTAAATTGGAAAAGGAAAAAATTCGAAACACTTTCAAGCTACAGTGACTGCAGACATCAACTTGCTCTTCACATGGCTTACAAGCCCCTTCTAAACCTCTTGATTTTATTTTAATTATTCCTACAAATGTAGATAAAACTTTAAAAAAAATTAGTTGCATATGCCTTATAAAGTGAATCATGACTTAAAGAAGAACCCAATGCAAGCTTTCTGGATAACACTGGATTTAAAAAGTTGTAAACAATGCTACTGGTTTTATTACGGCTTGATGCAGACATGCTTCAGTATATTACAGACTCTCAATTTTAAAATGTAAATGGTACAGGATATTGATAAACCAATTAGCACTGATGCAAAGCAAATTCCTCTTTTATCTCAATTACAACATGACAACTTAATAGGTCAAGACAGTCTAACATCTGAGACAAGGGCAATTCAATAAAACAACTGCATCTTGATATGGTAATTAAGAGGAAATGTGAATCCATTACATTGTCTTGTGTATGTGCGCATATGTAGGTGATCTTTTTTATTTATTTAAGCATTTGATGCCCTCTTGCTGATTTTATAGTGTATCAAATCCACATGAACACAGTTGAGCCCAGTTGATAAGTACTCACGGTATCTATAGATTTAGCAGGCAAATTTTAAGGGTGCAACTGTGCAGATAAACAATTCATGAAAAGCCCCTAAAACATAACAATTGCAAGATAATCTCTTCAAACACAGGACTTCTCTGTCTATAAATATGCAAATTATTTTTATCTGGCAACAAAAATTTATTAGAAGTTCAAATACCTTGATACTCAACTGGTACTTGCATGCACTCAATTGGAAAATAAAACAAAACAACAAAGACCACAGCAAAACAAATACATCACAATTGGAAAATAAAAATAATTTTGCTCAAATATGGTGTCACTTTAAACTTAGATGTAGCACATGCTAGAAAAGAAATGGTAGCCAGCACTGGCAAGACTGTAGTGGAATATACTGCAGCTTTTTGACAAACCAGGAGTTTTAGCAATTAGGATAAAGTGCTCTCATAAAGTCAAAGAAAGGTAGATGTTCTGTTTTATGCTTTCATCTTAATTTGATATACACACTGTAGTAGAAGTTTCACTTTACAATAGATCTTGGAACAATTTAAGAATTAAACAAAGTCAATGAGAGCCATATGGGAGTGTAATATTCTGAACAGACTGTACATTATCTTAGAATACAAACAAAAACTTACCTCTATATTAGCTCTGGATGTTTATAATGAAAGACAAACATTATTGTAGGCTGCACTACAGCAGACCAAATAAACAACTTCAGCTGTAGAATGTAACAACCTATGCAGCCAATACAAGAGAAGATTCCAATGCTGAAAATACCTCCTTTAGTTAAATAATCCCTTTAGAGTGTTCATGGCTTTGTAAGACAACTTTTGGCAAAAAATTTACCTATTTCTTTTAATCATCATCTCAGCAAAAGTCAACCATAATATATAAAAACTGTAAACGTGGAAAAAATGTTTTTGTAGCATTCAATCCACCACAAAAACCAAACCAACCTGATTCCAAGATTCATAGTCTCAGCAGTTCCAATCATACTGATGGCCAAGAGCATGTTGTTACAGATCTTTGCAGCCTGAAAACAGGTGAAACCATCAATTAGTTTATGCATTTTCACAGAACTAATGTAGGAATCCACTAGGCCCAGGACAATATGATCAAGTATGTTCTGTAAGCTTTCTTCTAGAGTAAACACAAATCTGTGATAGCACAAAGTTAATGAAAGTTGCTCTATGGCTCCTTCACAGATTAAAAAATACTTTTTTTTCTTAGTACTGCTCATTTAGCATATATGCCATGTAGGGGCTCCTTGTTCTTCAGAACATCCAGTAAATCTAAACTCAAATGAAACAAAATCAAAATGTCTCTCCTCTAAGAAGTATAACCTCAACAGGCCAGTGTGGAGAAATACCAGTCAGATTTTTATACTAAGTTACACAACATACTGGACAAAAGTGCCATGACATTATTTACAAACCCAAGGTTAGAGACAAACAAATGATTATGAAGATATATTATCAAGCATTTAGTTCTTGAGTAAAAGAGTAGGCATCAATAAATAAAAAGCCAGAAAAAGGAAAGACTGAGATAGCTATTAGCCCTTCAGAAAGCATTACCTGTCCGGTTCCAACCTCTCCACAGTAAACCACATTAGAACCCATGCATGTCAGCAACTCTTTGGCAGCATTAAATTCTTGTTCCACTCCACCAACCATGAAAGTAAGGTTTCCAGCTCGAGCAGCTCCAACACCTGAATCAAGATAACATTGGATTTAATAACACTATTTAAAAGCCTCAAAACTTAGGCAGTTTCTCTTAGCAGGAAGGGTCTGATGATGCAAAATTAATACTTCACTTACAATGAACCTCTCAAGTTCTATGTTAAAGTAACCCGACATTCCCAGTACTCAAATATTAGTAATCTAAATTCTCAAAAATCTGATGGAGATAAAACCACCTTATCTTCCAGGCACACTAGCAGAAAAGTCATAAGACTTGCATAAAACTGGCAGTCACTTTTTATAGTTTATAAACAATCAACTTTTCCTGCAACTTTGTGTTCCACAAAACTCACTAATTAAATTACTAATTAAAATGTCTCTTTTGTCAAACTACTCTTCATATACAACCATTAACAAACTACTGCTCAAAGACAACTCTGCTTTTATCAGCCTTTCCAAATCTAGGCTAATTTTTATCAATGCTTCCTGATTTTCACGCGATTGAACAGCTAAAAGACACAAGCATATAAAATCAAGTCTTCTGAATTTCTGCAGTTTATGATGTTCTTAATCTGAAGCAAAATTCTCCTTAATCTAAGAAGCTTTAAGTGAGTTCCCACATTTAAACTTAATGTATCTACAATGATGCAATTATTACATAAAGTCAATGTAAAAATTATTCATAGACATACACAAACACACTATTCCCAGCTCTATTCCTGTAGTCTATCCTGTCTTTTGCACAGTTCAGTAAACACACACCATAGTTCTTTGAATATACAGTTCCTAAGCACAACACTGGCAAATATTTCATGTGATATTTATTACCTCCACTCCATGAAATATTCCATTCCTTAAAAGAAGCCTAATTCTAATATGAATTACTCTTACCTCCCTAACTTCCTCATCCCTGGTATTTAATGGGTATAACTGCTAGGAAAATTCGGCCTAAACTGATGAACAGATCAGCCTCTTCACTAATCTCCACTCTGGCAAGAAGCATAGCCACAATAAATTTTCTGTGCTATGCATCAAACATTGGCTCGTTGGGGTGTACAGCTGCAGACAACAACTGACTTTCAAATTAAACATGCTCAATTAGGTACAGTGCTCCGAGGAGTGGTCAGTTTTGGACTTTGTTTACAACATCAAGGATAGGTACACTGCAGCTTTTCACAATGAAGAATTTGTTGAATTTTTTTTTTCTTCTCAATAAACATTTCAATTGATGTTCTCATGGTGTGTAACTGCTCTGTGTGGCTATGTCTACAAATGCCCCCTTTCTGTATGTTGCAAGTGTTTATTTTTTCCATCCTGCCTTTCAACATCTACTATCTTTTTAAGTCACAGACAAATTTGACAGATCAAAGTCTCAAAAAGAGTAAATACCCCACCAGTTATGCAAAACTAGGCAACAGTAAAGATGCTCCCAGTGATGACCTGCTCAGCCTATATTAGAACCTAGAATCACAGGATTCTGGGAGTTGGAAGTGGTAAATTCCACTCTTTGCCTACCTTCACAGTAAAAAAAAGTGTTTTCTGGTGCTTCAGACAGAATTTCTTGAGTTTTGATTTGTGCCTCCTGTCCTGTCACTACTGAGCAGAGTGTAGCTTCCTTACTTAATTCTCTCCCATCAAGTCTTTATACACATTAATAAGATCACCCTGGCGCCTTCCCTTCATGCTAAACAGTCTCAGCTGTCTCAGTCTCTCTTCATAAGGAAGATGCTCCAGACCCTTTGCCATCTTCATGGCCCTCAGCTGGACTCACTCCAGTAAATCTGTGTCTTTCTTGTGCTATTAAGTCCAGAACTGGAGCATCCAGAAGAACTCAGACCCACAGCTTTAACAAAACAATTGGTCTGTATACAGAACACTGCTGAGGTACTGAAATACATACAGCGGTGAAGATCTTCCTGCCCATGTTGAGAGACACCCAATTTTCAGCCAATCCTTGATCTCACTCGAACAACTTCTCTCCAGGCAACTCACAGGAACTGGGCAAAGAGCAAAGCCCAAACTAGCTAGCATAAACAGGTCATTGTTGTCTTTTTGGCTGCCAGTTCACTATGTACATGACCACAAAGATTGCTACATTAATAAACACAATGATTTTCATTCCATTCCTCTAGCTATTTTTATTCAAACCACATAATGGCCTTTACCACTAATCCTGTGATCTGACCTGCAGCAAATTAAGTAGACAATTTAAGTCAAAGCTTACAAACAAAATCCAGTACTATCCATCATAGGTCAATAGGCTTGTATCTAGATTACAGACTGCTAAATAGCTTCAGAGATTCATTTATTAGAGCAAAATTAATGCTGACAATAGTTTTCAGCTGGTTAATCTTCTGACAGCTGCACTCTCTCACTTGTTCAAACACATTTCAAGAAGAAAAAATAAATTAGTTAAGTAGAAAAAAAGAGACCAATTTGTTGTATAATGCAGAAGGCTTGGAAAACTCTTGTTTTAAAAACAAAAACCTATTTACTTCATGGTAGATTTTATCATCCAGGGTCCTTGCCAACTATCTGCTATTTTATCAGACTCAAATGAGCAACACAGCAAATTTTTAAGACTTGAAATTAAAAAAAAAAAAAATTGGCATGGAATATAGGAGTACAAGAACTGTAACTTCAGCTAAAAATAGAAATGAAAAAAAATCATTATACAAGAATGCACAGCCTTCTTTCACAATCACAGCTTCCATACCAACACAAGCCAGTTAAGTATTATCAGTTTTTAACACTAAACAGAGCAATAGAGATGCAGAACAGCTAATGCAATTTAAATATGCTAACTATTATTTTTCATATGAAGTCTTGCTACCTAAGATAATGCTTTATGTACCAATGCTGTGAGGGTCAAAAGTTGTTTAAAATCTATCTGTTCTTTCTAAAACACAAAAAGTCTCTTCACATCCTTGGGGAATAGTTTTCAGAGAAACTGTATCTGTGATTAGCATGTGTTAAGACTTCCTTCTTGCCACAAAGCAAGACTGCTGGAGCCCTTGGCCACAGTCTTATACTTGGTTTCTCAAGGATGATAACCCACACCGATGTGCAGAATCCTTCAAGGTCATCATACCAGCAGATCCCACAGATCAACTCCAATTCTGTTGGTTACAACAGCGCCAGAGTTTGTCCCAGAAATATAAACTGACAGGAACAGGATTGCAGAAAAACACAAGAGATCTAGCTAGCTGAGGGGATATGCAAGAAAATTACTCTGGAAAAAAATATGGTGAGAAGTTACAGAATAGCACTGCAGTATATGGCATATCCACTTGGAGATGGGTTTCCCACTTGCATACTAGCAGGTTTTGGATGAAGATCTGCAATAAGTTTTTTATCAAAAGAGGTACATAAAGAACTGCACTTCAAAGCATCCTGTCACATCTGGCTGTGCTACTTGTGGGGCAAGTTCAATCCAGGTGCTTCTCATTCAATTGCCAGTGGATTGCTCATTGAACTTGCTACAGAGCAGCTCTTAAGTTCAAGATTTTAGACAAAAATAGGAATGGAGACTTAGGAGCCCTCACATGTCAACAGGAACTGGTTGCAGCTATCCTGGAACAGTCTCTAAGATGACCTCAAGTTTTAGCATCCAGGCCAAGCAGCCTTCTTTGACAGATACGTTGCCCTTCCATATTCACTTTCCTGTGCTTATTTAAACAGTATTTTTCATGTTGCTACAAAAAACCTTGAAATTTGCTACTGATGTTTCCAGTTCCCAAAAAAAGCCCAGAAAGGTCTTAGCTCTATAGCTACGTAATTAAAACTGCTTAGTTTCTATCAGGTTGCTGATTATTAAGAACACAATTTGCTAGAAAAGACATGTTAATGTAAAGGTGTTATATGAAAGTATCTGCTTTCAGTTTCAGCTTTATTACATTTCTGTAAAAACAGAGGGCAGATGAGTTAAAAAGAAGTAATATTGTAAGGCTATGCATTACAGCACCGTCATAGTGGCAATGCTGAAAACAGCAACACTGCTGAAAAGACAATGCACCCAAGCATATCCCTGTGCCAACATATTTAAACCACTGTTGCGCTGCACCTGCAGACAAAAAAATTCATTGCTGACAAAGTTGAGACTGAAATTATATGAACTGTGCTGTTTCAGAGTCTCTGAATGACAAGTAAGAGATGAAGGCTGTAATATCAAGAAGCTCCAGCAAAAAAATAATCTACTTTGTTGTTTTTCTACTCAACATTTAGCTGCAATTTTAACAACTAATTTTGTGATCTAACCTAGATTTAAAATAAAAAATAAACAAGAAGAACATTGCCAGAGTTTTAATCCTCTGTCTTGTTTTACAATGTTGCACCTTCAAGCACGGGAGTTGAAGCTTTGCCTGCTCCACTTTGGGAAGTGCAAGGGAACACTGGTCTGTTATTCTGATTTAAAAAAAAAAAAAAGCAGTTTAAGTGACTGTAGCTGCTCAAACAAGCAGGTTCTTGTCATATTTGCTCTCTTTCACATAGGCTGAGCTTGAGAAGCTCCATCTGTGTACCTTGTATGAGTGTGTATTTATTTTTAAGGACTAAGCAGATTTTTTTAAGTACCTGCCAGCTCACACAAAATACTTTGTCTTTGCAACTCACAAAAAGTTAAACCAAGATACACAAGGAAGGATTAACTGAAAAGGTTACTATTGTTTTGCTACATATATAAATCTAAAATAAATTAAAAGGCATGTAAAAGCAAAATCAGCTATAAATCCCTACTGGAAATAAAAGAATAAAAACCGTACTATAAATTTAAAATAACCATGAAGAGACTTGTTATTTTATAAAATATAAGTAGGGTATCAATGTTTCCTTCTTGCTTCTTAGACAAATGTCTGCCATCATCAATCTATTTCCAGGAAACAAGTAAATGGAACAGACTCAGAAAAAAATCCCACAGCACACTGCAACTCCACGGGCTTGCGTTTCTCCCTATTACAAAAATCAGCATCAAAGCTAGACCTATGAAGCTATTCTGCTGCCTTATAACTAAAACACAGTAAATCACTTAATT